ATCTCTAAAAATAACTGGGCGTTGTAGTAGATGCTACATGGAAGGCTGAGGCAAGAGAATTGCTTAAGCCCAAGAATTTGAGGTTGCTGTGAGCTGGGATGCCATGGCACTCTACCAAGGGCAACATAGTGAAACTGTGTCTCAAAAAAAAAAAAATAAAAATAAAAATAAATAGTGAAACTGTGTCTCAAATAAATAAATTAAATTAAACAAAAATAAATAAAATCCTGTCACAGCTGTTAATCTTTCTTTAATGGATTCCGCATCTCGTGTTAAGAAGGCTTTAGGATTGTAAAGTATTTTCTTATTTTTTCTCTCAATTTTTCTTTTTTCTTTTTGAGGCAGAGTCTCACTATATCACCCTAGGTAGAGTACTGTGGCGTCCCAGCTCACAGCAACCTCAAACTCTTGGACTTAAGCCATTCTCTTGCGTCAGCCTCCTGAGTAGCTGGGACTACAGGCGCCCACCACAACGCCCAGCTATTTTTCAGTTGCAGTTGTCATCTTTGTTTAGCAAGCCTGGGCTGGGCTCGAACCAACCCGTCTTGGTGTATGTGACTGACACCCTACTCACTGAGCTACAGGCGCCGAGCCGTTTCCCCAATGTTTTTATAATTTTTACATTTGGCTCTTCCATGTAATTAAATTTGTGTATTATTTGAGATACAGGTATATTTTTCCCTCCAAATGATAGCGATTTGTCCCAGGCCTTAATCCTTCCTCACTGATTGGAAATGCTACCTTTATCATATAGTAAATATCTGCATGGTCTGTTTTCCCCTTTTCTGGACTCACCATTGCTCTGGTCTTTATGCCAGTACCCACTGCCACGCTACTTTAGCTGTCCCCTTTTTTTGAGACAGAGTCTTACTCTGTCACCCTGAGTAGAATGTCATAACTCACAGCAACCTCCAACCCTTGGGATTGAGCAATCCTCTTGCCTCAACTTTCCAGGTAGCTGGACTACAGATGCCTGCCACTACACCTGGCTAGTTTTTCTTTTCTTAGTAGAGATGGGGTCTCACTCTTGCTCAGGGTGGTCTTGAACTTGATCTTAAACAATCAGAGTTCTGGGATTACAGGCATGAGCCACTGTACCCAGTCAGTTGTGTCTTTTTTTTGTAGAGACAGAGTCTCATTTTATTGCCCTTGGTAGAGTGCTGTGGC